AGGAAAAAAAGGGTACCTGGGTGACTCAGTCAGTTAAATCTCTGGCTCTTGATTTCAGCTCAGGTCATGATCTCACAGCCATAAAATCAAGACCCACATTAGGCTCTGTGCTGGGGGTGAAGCCTGCTTGAGATTCTCCCTCTCCCTCTGCCCCTCCCCCACTTGCACATGGCATACCTACACTTTTGTGCTCTCTTTAAAAAAAAATTCCTTATTACAAAGAGGGTAAGAGGGCAGGATCTCTACTATTTGTTAAACATGCATTTCGGCTACCATTGTGGAGATGCAGTCCATCAAAAGTGTTCAATAAATAATTATAGACCTGATCATCTTCAACCTGAACTCCATGGTGCTATCTCATTTCAGGAGAGAAACTTTTCTCCCAGTGAACTTTAATCCTCACTCTGGGTACAGTTGATAACCAAGTACAAATGGGCTTGTGCCTACCCCAGATCTCCTTTGGTCCTTAAGGATATCCTGAGATATTCTGACAGATTCCTTGCCACACCTACACCATTGCCTGATCTGTATTGAAGCAGCCTTACCAAGAAAATAAAAGGAAATGTGATTTTTAACAACTTGTTCTTGGCAAATCCACGGTGGCCCCGGTGGCCCCCCAATGGCATTCTAGCCAGGGCAAGTTACACCCACTGTGCAATGGCGCTGCTGGTTGGACAGGCATGTTTTCACACTGCCTGCTTTGCCAAAGGGGTGAAAGACTAAGCTGCTGGATGCCTTGAGGTTCATCAATCATGGCTCCATGTTGCAACAATTTCAAACATGCAAGCTGCTAGTAAATTTGCAATTATTGGCTGAATAGTTCTCAATTTTTTTAACATTTACTTATTTTGAGAGAGAGAGAGAGAGAGAGAGACCACAAGCAGAAGAGGGGCAGATAGGAAGAGAATAACAAGCAGGCTCTAGACTGTCAGTGCAGAGCAAGACCACATGGGGCTCGATCTCATGAACCGTGAGATCATGACCTGAACCAAAATCAAGAGTTGGACACTTAACAGATTGAGCCACCCAAGAGACCCTGAAGAGTTCTCAATTTATTTTTTTTTTTAATATTTTTATTTATTTCTAGGAGAGAGAGAGAGAGACAGCGTGAGCAAGGGAGGGTCAGAGAGAGAGAGACACAGACTCTGAAATAGGCTCCAGGCTCTGAACTGGCAGTCAGCACAGAGCCCGACGCAGGGCTCGAACCCACGAACGTGAGATCATGACCTAAGTGAAAGTCGGACACTTAACCGACTAAGCCACCCAGGCGCCCCTGAAGAGTTCTCAATTTAATATCCCTAAATGCCACAAAGCCTTAGCTCCATAAATGGATATTTTAAAATGACTGTTAAATATTCATCTTCTCTAAATCTCACCCCTCCCACTCCCTACCTTTAATGCACACAATGTGATGAGCTTATGAGACAGTGAGGCTTCATAAAGTAAGAAGGTTTATATTGCACACAGATTTGATGTTAACACCTACATAACAATAATAGCTATTGATTCAACATCCATGATTTGCCGGGCATTTGACATGCAGCAAGTCATTTAACCCTCATAAGCTGTGTTGTTATTAGGACATTATAAACAAACTGCAGTGCATGGAAGTGATGTGGCCTAAGTCTGCCAGTTAGCGATGGCAGAACAAGGATTGAACCCAGGCTGCACCCCTAACCAGTACAAACTGACATCACCAGAGCCCGACCCCTCTCTTCCCTTTTCTCTCCAGCCCCACCTCATATTCCACCCGACAATCTTCTCCACCTGCCAGGACACTGCCGCCACCTCCGTTTTGCCCCAAGCTGCAGCACCCCTTCTCACATGTCCTCACCCCCAGAGTCACACCGTCAGTGTTCAGCACTTGCACTGAGCCCACCTCCTCTCCGTCCAGTCCTTTCCCGGCCATCTCAGTGACTCTTGCTTCCCCCACTGGTGGGCACAGTTCTGACTTACGCTCCACTTGTTCCCATGCACACACATCCATCACGGACCGAAGCAGACTGCAACAGAAAGCAGATGTCATTTTCTCCGCTGACCCTCCCACCACGCTCGGGTGTGACACACAAGTCTCCTCCTGACCAACGTGGCTCGCACAGCTCCAACCGTTAGAGCCGAGAAAGCAGACAGACTGCTGACATGTCTCTGTGGCCAGCCTCTGCGTGCTCATCAGAAGCTGCCCCTCCTCAAGGGGAAGGGATGTGCTAAGCCTCTCCCGTGCGCCAGGGGCTATGCTAGATGCTTTACAAATAGGTTATGACCTTTCATTCTCCAAACAACCCAAGGCAAGAGGATTTGTCATCCATACTTTATGGAAAAGAAAAGTGGGTTCACATCAATCACTCCTGGAGCCCAGATTCAAATCCCCTTCTCCTCACCTAGGAAGCCAGCCTTCTTTTCACTGCCCTGCGGTGTCACAGGGAGAAAAGAAGGCAATACTTACCTACACATAGGTATTTCTGAGTGGGCACGGCACTTCTAGGTGTATGATCTCTACTCCCCTTCTGAAAGATGGGACTTACCTTGTAATTCTGTGTTTGGGCTTTTTCCCTTCCAAAGAAGGTGGACATTCGGTGGTCCCGTTTGTGACTAAAACCTTTAGGGAGTGGAATACATCTTTGAGACAGGAAAGGTGGTAAGGGTGTATCTACCCCATTCCTGGTCATTGTAAACTAAAAGACCGCTGACACATCACATCCCAACCAGCTCATCACTCACACTCACACACACACACACACACACACACACACACACTTTGCTCTTGACCTCACAGCACTGGCCACTTCCTGATTCCCTTTTTGGATCTAATTGCCTCTAGCCAAAACTGCCTGCACTAGTCTCCCAATCCACCCTGCCAGGACACTACCCCCAGCCATGCCCTACCCCTACACAGGTTAGGGTGGGGGAATAATCCTCAAGGCACACACGTATACTTTACACAAGCTTAACATTTGGCAGGTTTCATCCTCCCCTGTATCTCATGCCACAGAGAAATCAGTATCCTAGCACAAAATACACTGTAATTTTAACTACCTATTTCCTAGCCTGACTGTAACTCAAGTCTACAAAGAAAGGGGTCACTGGCATAGCAAATCCCTGACTTTCTACAGTCTACAGTCTAGCTCAGAGCAGAACTCACCACCCACTTCTGACTTGCTAGTGTTTGGAGCACTAATGTATGACACAGCTGGACTGACCAAGTAGGTCAACTGTCAGGTGACCCTGAATGGTTCCCTTCCTGCTCTGAATTAGAAAACTCACTCAAAGCATAGGGGTATCAGGTCTGGGACAAACTATGCCATTTCTCCAGAGGGACCCAATTTCTGAGCCTCCTCAGGACTCTGCAGTCAAGGTGCAGAAACGTTGTCAGCAAGATCCTGACAGTCAGCAAAAGCTGCCACAAACGAGCTCCTCACAGATAAGTGTTTTCTTGTTGCTAAGCGTCCCATGAGTTGAAAGCCACAAATCTCTAAAGTGAAAAGTTGAGTGGATGGCTACTTTACACAAACCTAGAGGGAAAAAAAATACACATCGATGAAAGAGGAAATTGATCAAATACAAAGATCTATACTGAAACTTGATGTCTGGTTCCAATGGTAAGGGGGAGATACAGAGAAATATAGCAGCAGCCACAGGAATGACAAGATAACTGTAAAAACAAGAATCAGTGTGCCACCATTCACCCCCTATAACATGAACACGGAACTTCTGACATAATGAGCTGGCATGCTGTTTTGCAACAGAAATGACCATCTCCAAGAAAGGATGGAGGCAGAGCTATTCTGGGGGCCAGAGGAAATACTATGGAGCCTGAAGACCGGACTCAACTGATCTCACTCACTCACTCACTTAGGCCAAGAGTCAACTCAGAGCCAAGGTTTACTTCTCTGTAGAAAGGGAATGGCAAGTGGAAACAGAATAGCCACTGCAACAGAAGGCATACAGACCTTTAAGCAAACCTAGATCTGAAGAGTGTCACTTAATGAGTAACACACAGTTAAACTCCCTATAATAATAACATCGAACCTAAGAGGCTATTGCAAAAATTGAGTAAAGTGCTCATTACAGTACCAGACATAAGGAATGTCTAATAACTAAAAATTTCTATCGAGACTAAGTGTTTTAATACTCCCTAACATGATGCTGAGCACTTTTCATGCTTTATCTGGTCACACTTGATTTGTCTACTCTGCAAGATTTGTATAAACATGTTACATATATGTAACTATATTTTATATGTATATGTGTGCATATATATATATATATATATATATATAAAACTATGAGCATAGGATACTAGTGATTATCTCTTGGGAGGAGAAATAGGATTTCTTCTTTTTGCTTATCTTTTTCCAAAATTTTCTACAAACATCATTTATTGAGGTATATTCATATATTCCTATTTTTTTAATGCCAAGTACATTAAAACACAATGAAGATCAAGATATTGTTCACAGGTAATCTCCTATATGAGCCATTTCTCTTGGAGGTAAGAGCTAACAAAAGTTCTGTTTTCCCTGAGGAATTGGCATATGCTTTGCTTTTTAAGAATTAACTGATTTATCGCTTCTTTACTTTGCCACCAGGGGGCACAGCAAAAATTTTAGTTCAATCCCTCAGGTCCTCCTTTGCATATTTCTATTTTAATTTCCCCAATCTTGACATTCTATTCTAATCTATATGTCTTACCCTGATTTGGGATTTATTTCTATTTTATTACTTTTATCAATGTTTATCATAAATTTATTGTCTACAGATCCTTATACTTTTAGACCACTTATACACATACATAAACTGAAGACTTTAAGGATTACTGTTGCCCATACATTTCATGCTGGGTCCCTGCATTTCCAAAGTTCTTGGTTAGGACATAAAATGATAGAAATACAACCTCTAAATTCAATTTGACATTTTTTTTTAATGCAAAACTACATCATCTCCCTGTAATGATATAAAAAAAAAAGTAACAAAAATACCGTTAACTTTTAAAATCTTAGAAATCCTGTAATTAAGTTTTATTAAATGATCAATTCTCAAAAGTATATACATTTCTTTATTATAAAAAAAATCTCCATCCCCATCTCACCCTCCCTCACTCACTGCCCCAAAGCAGATATTGTCCACACAGAAGCCAACCCAACAAAGTCTACCATACATCCAAAAGCAAGGAAGACAGGAGGTCCCCAAAGGACAAGATACGCTGGTGTTATGATGCAGGGCCTTCCTGTAGAGTGGGAAGAATGGGAAGAGCTCACATTACAAGAAGGGAACTCTACTAGGCAGACTGACAAAGCCTTGTATAATTTTTACCAACTCAAACACTTGAGGTGCCCACCAGTTCCAAGAGAACAGACCAAACTAATACACAAAGGAAGGCCTCTGCCAGTGCCTCCTATCAGGAGTCATTAGGAAGCCCAAACAGCTTCACAGTTCCTGCTTCCCGACTGCTGTCATATTTGCCATCTTTGTCATCACAGGCAAATGCCAGCAGAGGCCTTTTGGGGTGCCAAGCCACGGTGAAGGTCGGGGACTCACATTGCACCTCCCATAGCTTGTCTCCTATAAAAATCAATATAGAGAAACCAATAAATATGTTAATAGTAAGAAATCACGTTCATTAAGTACCTGCCTACATTACCTCACTTAATCCACATATTAACCCTATAGGATAGATATAATCATCACCTCATTTTATAGAGAACACTGAGGCACAGAGAGGGTACAAGTCAGTAGGTGGCAGAGGAAGATCTGAATGCAGAGCCTGTGCTCTGAACCTATTCTGCATTCCCTGGGAAAACAGCAGTAGTGGTTACTATTTATTGAGCACCCCTTAGGAATCAGATGAATTATACTTCATTTTAATAAAGTTTAATGACAACCCAGCAAATGATATTTAACCCCATTTTATAAAGGAACAAATGACTTAACAGTTAAGTCATACATCAAGGAAGCAGCAGAGTCAGCATATGAAGTCTGTTTTCAAAGCTACAGATCTTTCTGCTAAATCACAATGTCTTGTAAATAGATTTCTTTATCCAAAAACATTATTCTTCCTACTTATTGAAATTAAACAGGATTTTTCTAAAGCCATTATTCCTCTAGTCCTACTTTGCTTTTTTTCAACCTTAGGGTTAAGATTAATGTAATAAAACATTAACGATGTGGTGTTTAAGATGGAGGATGCATTAAATTACATACCTCAAACTAGTCAATTATATGGTAAATTATATTTCAATAAAGCTGTTTAAAAATATACATGTATATAGGAGCACCTGGGTGGCTCAGTCAGCTAAGCATCTGACTTTAGCTCAGGTAATGATCTTGCCGTTTGTGAGTTTGAGCGCCGTGTCAGCCTCTGTGCTAGCAGTGTGGAGTCTGGAGCTTGCTTCGAGAATCCTGTGTCTCCCTCTCTCTGTCCCTCCCCTGCTAATGCTCTGTCTCTCTCTGCCTCTTAAAAATAAACATTAAATACACACACACACACACACACACACACACACGTGTGTGTGTGTAGAGAGAATCCTATTTCAGAGACAGTTAACCACTCTTAATGATGCTAGGATCTGGCAGTCTAGCTATATGTCTAAGCAAATTTCTGCATTTTACAAATATAAAGAATAGTTTCAGAGGCTGCTACTCCCCTTTTACTTCTCTTTAGGCCTTTAACTCGAAGTCATTTGTCAAACTCACTTGGGATTGGTTAAGATAAAGAAATTTATACAGTTCATGAAAACCAGAGTAGAGTAGGCCATTCATTTAATGAAGAGGCCTTCTAAATTGTTTCCAAAATAACCATATGGTTTCATAAACTTTTATATCTTGACAGTTTTATTGGAAAGCTTAATCTCTGAATGATAAAGAAGGTACTATCTGGGTGAGACTGACATTACTACTCCAGGCCACCAAAGTTCCAAAAGACTCAGTATAATATGTATGAGATGTTTAAAAAGCTGAAAATAAGTGGACTTTTAAAATATATGCTATCAGAAATAAAATTCTTACTTGTTTTACATTCAACTATTAAAAATATGTAAGAAAAAAATGTAAGATATAAAATCTTAACATATGATTCCAACTATAGTGTGTATGTACACACCCACACACGTATAGATGTCTGTATATAAAACAGACACACACATATATAGATGTCTATACGTAAAATATCTATATAGATATCCATATATGAAAAAAAGTTTGGAAAGAAATATCTTAATACGTTAGGAATACCTATCTCCAAATTATAGACCTTTACGTGACTGTTAGTTTCTTCTTTTTATTTGTCAGTGTTTTCTAAATATTCTACAATGAACATGTACTACTCAGTTTACAAACTAATATACAAAGACATGCTTACTGCATAAAATTCAGAAAGTACAAGGGTGCAGAGTAGCACTGGGCAACAGAAACTTCTGTGATGGAAACATTCTACAACTGCGCCATCCACAGAGAAACCACTAGCCACTTGTGGCTACTGAAGTCCTTTAAATGAGCCTAGGATGACTGAGGAACGGAACTTTTCATTTAATTGATTTCAGTAATAATGATTACATTGTAATTTAAATTTATCCTTTTTCCCTATGGCAGTCTTCTCCCAATATTCTAAGTCTGAAATAAATTCTTTTTTTTTAATATGTATTTTTTTTTAACATTTATTCAGTTTTGAAAGACAGAGACAGAGCATGAGCGGGGGAGGGGTAGAGAGAGAGGGAGACATGGAATCCGAAGCAAGCTCCAGGCTCTGAGCTGTCCAGCACAGGGCTCGAACCCACAAACCAAGAGATTATGACCTGAGCCAACATTGGATAGTTAACCAACTAAGCCACCCAGGCACCCCTGAAATAAGTTCTTTCAAAAGTCATCCTATCAACTTAGCTTTAGCTTCTTCACCTAAATGAGAACACATTACATGCACTGGACTGGCTACTTGTTTTGCTCATTCAGTAAAATGCCTTGCTAATCTTCCATTTCAGCACATACAGAGTTGTTTTTTCTCTTGGCACACTGTAACATGGATGCATCACAACTTATTTAGTTAGTTCATCAAAATGAAAATTTGGACTATTTCCCATTTATGCATAAAACAATGCTGTAAATATACTTGTGCTTCCCTTTCATAATCATCTGATTTATAGTTTTTAGCCTACAGAAAATTTTTTTTAAAAAACTTGTTAAAAACAGGGGCGCCTGGGTGGCTTAGTCGGTTAAGTGTCCGACTTTCGCTTAGGTCATGATCTCGCGGTTCGTGGGTTCGGGCCCCACGTCGGGCTCTGTGCTGACTGGCAGCTCAGAGCCTGGAGCCTGTTTCAGTCTGTGCCTCCCTCTCTCTCTGACCCTCCCCTGCTCACGCTGTCTCTCTCTCTCTCCTAAAAATAAATAAAAACACTAAAAAAAAATTTAAAAAAAAAAAAAAAAAAACTTGTTAAAAGTATTTGCCTCGCAAAAATGAACTATTGGGACCTCATTAAAATAAAAAGCTTCTGCACGGTGAAGGAAACAATTAGCAAAACTAAAAGGCAACCAACAGAATGGGAGAAGATATTCACAAACGACATATCGGATAAAGGGTTAGTAACCAAAATCTGTAAAGAACTTATCAAATTCACCCAAAAAGCAAATAATCCAGTGAAAAAATGGGCAAAAGAAATGAACAGACACTTTTCCAAAGACATCCAGATGGCCAACAGACACATGAAAAAATGCTCTACATCACTCATCATCAGGGAAATACAAATCAAAACCACAATGAGATACCACCTCACAGCTGTCAGAATGGCTAACATTAACAACTCAGGCAACAACAGATGCTGGTGAGGATGTAGAGAAGGAGGATCTCTTTGGCACTGCTGTGGGAATGCAAACTGGTGTAGCCACTCTGGAAAACAGTATGGAGGTTCCTCAAAAAAATTAAAAATGGACCTCTCTACGACCCAGCAATTGCACTACTAGGTATTTATCCAAGGGATACAGGTATGCTGTTTTGAAGGGGCACATGCACCCCAACATTTATAGCAGCGCTATCAACAATAGCCAAAGTATGGAAAGAGCTCAAAAGTCCATTGATGGATGAATGGATAAATATGTGATGTATATGTATACAATGGAGTATTACTCAGCAATCAAAAAGAATGAAATCTTGCCATTTGTAACTACATGGATGGAACTAGAGGGTATCGTGCTAAGCAAAATTAGTCAGTCAGAGAAAGACAAATATTTTATGACTTCACTCATATGAGGAATTTAAGATACAAAACAGATGAATATAAGGGAAGGGAAGCATAAATAATATAAAAACAGGGTAGGGGACAAAACATAAGAGATTCTTAAATATGGAGAACAAACACGGGGTTGCTGGAGGGGTTGTGGGGGGGGGTGGGCTAAATGGGTAAGGGGCATTAAAGAATCTACTCCTGAAACCATTGTTGCACTATATGCTAACGAACTTGGACATAAACTAAAAAAATTTTTTTAATTTTAATTAAAAAATAAAAAGTATTTGAACTATTCAGAAAAACTAAAACAGCCATATTTGATATATTCCTGAAGATTGTATGTGAACTAAATCATATTTTATATCTATTAGGTGAGGCAGACAACTAAACTTGCACAAAGATGGCACAGGAAAAACAGCACACACATGCAGTGTCAAGAGCAAACACTGCGACAACCTCTCTGTAAGTGGTTTAGTCCTTTACAAAATGTGAGCACCTTGGACTCAGTCAACAATTCACTTCAGTGGCTTACCCAAAAGGATAACCGCATTGGTAAAATGAAGTGCATAAGGATATTTCTCACAGCATTTTTATTGCATATTTATAAATATTATATTGCATATTTATAATGGTGCAAGGATGAAAATCCACCAAATAGTTGGACAAGTATCTGCTAGCATATATATGTATATATTGGTAGTTTAAGTATATACTGATATATTCAATGGGATTCTAAACTGCATTAAAAGTGAGAGTAGAGGGGTGCCTGGGTGGCTCAGTCGGTTAGGCGTCCTATTTCAGCTCAGGTTATGATCTCACAGTTCATGAGCTCAAGCCCCACATGGGGCTCTGTGCTGACAGCTCAGAGCCTAGAGCCTGCTTCAGATTCTGTGTCTTCCCTTCTCTCTGCCCCTCCCTCACTTGCACTGTCTCTCTCTGTCTCTCTCAAAAATAAACATTAAAAAAAAAAAAGTGGCAGTAGAGTTCAGCAGCCATGTAAGAAGCTGTAACATCCTCAGGTGAGGCAGGCACATCCTGGAGCAGGAGAGTATCCGTGCATCACATGGACATGGATGGCACAAAGGAGCTGCACATCCAAATGGCTGGACAACACTTACCACAGTGTCATCAACAGAGGTGTTGTTAATTGTGGAATTTCTACTTTTTTACTTTACTGTTTGAAGTTTTCTACACAGTTTAACTTATTTTACTAAAGTATCATGTATTTCCAAAAACAATAAAGCTACATTACAAAATAAATCTGAGGGTAATGACAGAAAATGGCAGAGGAGGAGGATCCTGAGCTCATCTCCTCCCAGGGCCACAATGAGGCAACAAGTATGTCTACTGAAACTAACTGAAAATGACCTGAAGACCAGCAGAAGCGATCTTCCACAGCTAATCATAGAGAGAAGGCCACACTGAAAGAGCAGAAGGGGCAGAGATACGGTCAGGAACCAAACCCGTGGTGCAAATAACCACAAACGGGAGTGAGACCACAAGCATGGAGTGAGGGAATCAGATCCCACACAGGGCTACCTTAGCCCCTAAGGACCTACACTGAGAAAACAAGTTCCTATAATGTCTGGTTTGAAGATCAGCAAGGCTTCACTCTGGGAGCTTTAGAAATTGGCGGGGCTTAACTATAGGAGAACTGGAGGGCAAAAGAGCCAGCACACTCAGTATCTCAGCCGGAGACAGCACAGAAGCAGCAGCGTGAAAAGCGCCCAGGGTATACATGAAGGGGATTTATTGACTAATTTTAGGATGTATGCCAGAGGGGCAGAGATCTGCAGATTTCTCCAGGAATAAAAAGTGCTGGCGGGTGCCATTTTTCTTGCCCTCCCTGAGCCTAGCTAGATAGCTGGACGCTTGCAGAAGCCAGTTCTAACACTCGCCATCTTCCTCACTAGCAACACATGCCCTGCCCCAGCATTCTCCTACTACCCACCCTACCCAGCCCACTGGCCTCCTCAGGTACCTCTCCAAAGCAGCTCCTGCCCTGCCACACCCAGCAAGCAGCCCCAGATTGGACAAGCACCCCTCCAAAGTGACTCCTGCCCTAGAGGACAGGGGAGATACCTATATACCAGCTTGCCCACAGTTCCTACAGTTAGGCCTCTTAGCTGGCTGCACAAAGAATAAGCCCTGCCTTTCCATGTATCTGCAGCTGCCACAGAGGCTAATTACAGGCAGCTAGGCTGAGTGCTAGCCCCACCTACACTGAGCCCATGGCAGCTGCAGCCAGACCTCTCAGCAGCATGGGCAGCAAACCCCACCCATTGCACATGCAGCAGGCAAAGCGGGTCACTGCAGCCAGCTGGGCTAAGGGCCAGCCCCACCCATCAGCATGCCCATAACAATCACAGCTCAGCCACAACAGGAGGGTACACACAGCCCATACAGAGGGCACCCCTGGTGCGCCTGGTTCCAGTGACCGGGCAGATAGCACACAGGGCACCACAAGACCTCTTCTGCGTAAAGCCACTACTTTCAAGGTCAGGGGATGAGGGGATATAGCTGACCTACCTAACATATAGAAACACACACACAGAGACAAAAGAAGGGATATGTCCCAAATGAAAAAACAAGACAAAACACAGAGAAAGGACTAAACAAAATAGAGACAAGCAATATGCGTGATGAAGAGTTCAGAGTCATAGTCATAAAGAAACTCTACTGGACTTGAGAAAAGAGTGGATAAACTCAGTGAGAATTTCAACAAAGAGACAGAAAATGTAAAAAAGAGCAAGTGAGAGCTAAAGAATACAGTAACTGAAACAGAAAATACACTAGAGGAAATCAAGAGCAGATTAGGGGGTGCAGAAGACGAATCAGAGCTCTTAAAGACAGGGTATCAAAAAGCAACCAAAACTAACAGCAAAAAGATAAAAGAATAATAGAAGTGAGAACAGGTGAAGGGGCCTCTGCAAAATCATCAAGTGTAATTAACATTCATATTATAAGGGTCCCAGAAAGAGAGAAGAAAAGGGGAAAAAATAATAGCTGAAAACTTCCTAAATCTGAGGGAGGAAACAGATATACAAATTAAGGAAGCAAAGAGAGCCCCAAACAAGATGAACCCAAAAAGGTTCACACCTGAATAATTAAAATAACAAAACTTAAATATAAAGGGAGAATCTTAAAAGCAGTAAAAGAAAAATAAACAGTCATGTGCAAGGAAAAACCCATGAGACTATCAGCTGATCTTTCGACAAAAACTTTGCAGTATGGAGGTTCCTCAAGAAATTAAAAATAGAAATACTATATGATCCAGTAATTCCACTACTGGATATTTACCCAATGAAAACAAAAACACCAACTGAAAAAGATATATACACTCTTATGTTTACTGCAGCATTATTTACAATAGCAAAGATATGGAAGCAACCTAAGTGTCCATGGATAGATGAATGGATAAAGAAGATTTGGCGTATATACACACAGTGGAATATTAATAAGTCACAAAAAGGAACGAGATCTTGCCATCTGCGAGAACATGGGTGGACTGAAGGGGTATTAAGCTAAGCGAAATAAGTCAGACAGATAGACAAATACCGTATGATTTCACTTTCACATGAAATCTAAAAAAACGAAACAAGTAAATAAATAATAGAAAACAGACTCATAAATACAGAAAGCAAACTGGTGGTTGCCAGAGAGAAGAGAGTTAGGGTGATGGGTGAAATAGGTGAAGTGATTAAGAGGTACAAATTTCCACCTACAAAATAAGTAAGTCATGAAAATGTAAAGTACAGCAAAGGGAATATAGTCAATAACATTGTAATAATGTTATATGTTGACTACATTTACCACAGTCAATGACTAATGCATATCACTGTCAAATCACTGTCATACATGAAATTAATATAACATTGTATGTCAACTATCCTTCAAAAACAAAAATTTTTAAATAAAAATAAGTAAATCTAAGGAAATTCTTCTGTAAAATGAATACTCTTCTCCCATTTTTCTATTTTCAAATTCTGTTGGTTGTTTTTAAAGCAAATCACATGTCTTTTGATAATTCCTAAAATTATTTAAAAATATGTATTTTTTAAGGTACACATAAGCAAAATATAGAAAAAAATACACCACAACACTAAAAGAGACTGTATTTAGATGGTGGGATCATAGGTCATACTTTTTTCTTTCTATTTTCTGTATTTTATAATTTTCATCATAATAGAAGAATTAAAAATTAATAAAATGCAAAATACTTTCCAAAATCACTTCTGTCAGACCTGCCCCATTTTAACTTTTTGCTCCCTCATGACCTGACTATAGCAGTCGTAATAAACAAACCTGTCTTAAGAAGACAAATTCACTTATCCTAATGCTGGTGAAATAGTAAAGATGAAAACACGAGACAGGAGCAGTCCGGATGGCGCCACAGACGACAGAGAGAAGACTTACTATGGTAGTGAGGGTTTCACTTACCTGTCTCTACTTCAGCAATGTCAATAAAATGATCTTCCGAAGCTGATGCCAGCATTTTTCCATCATGGCTAAAACTGAGGGTCCTCACAGGCCAATCCAGCCTATAACAGAGTAGACACAGGAGACATTAGAATAACTCAATAAGAGAAGGACACAATTTCACCCAAAATGAAATAAAATTAACTTATCCCACAAGGAAAGTACTGGCAGAGCTGCTTACCTGGAAAAGCACCGAACACACACTAACTCATCCACATCCCAAAGGCTGACCAAAGCATCTGCACTTCCTGTGGCAAAGTACTTCCCCATGGGGTCAAATTTGATACAGATGCAGTTGGAAGGATGGGCATTGATGGATTGCACAGGCTTCAGCTCTGGGTAGCTGAGAAACAAGACAGATGGCAATCCGAAAATCAAAGTAAGACAACAGAATATCAGACTGTAATTGAAACAAACTTTTCTAAACATTAAAAAAAACAAATTTAAATTATCATCAGGCCTTTCTGACAATAAGACTTTCTGCTAAAAGAAAATCGAGTATTTCAGATATACTGAGGGGAGAGGGGGAGTCTGGGTGGCTCAATGGGTTAAGCATCCAACTTTGGCTCAGGTCATGATCTCGTGGTTGGTGGGTTAGAGCCCTGCATCGGGCTCTGTGCTAACAGCTCAGAGCCTAGAACCTGTCTTCAGACTCTGTGTCTCCCTCTTTCTCTGACCCTCCCCTGCTCAGGCTGTCTCTATCTCTCTCTCAAAAATAAATAAAACATTTAAAAAAAGTTTTTTTTAATTAAAAAAAAAAAGATATATGGGGAAGAAAATATGAATCAAGGATTTTTTTTAAGTAGCATGGAGCTCAACGTGGAGCTTGAACTTACGACCCTGAGATCAAGACCTGAGCTAAGATCAAGAGTCAGACACTTAACTGAGTCATCCAAGTGCCCCATAGATTTTTCTACCTAGCAAAAGTGACTATCAATTATAAAAAGCTCAAATACTAAGCAAAATATAATAAAGTAGTTATAAGTTTTATAAGTATATAAGTTATAATAAGTTTGAACTCAAGGATACTGTTCCCAAGAACCCTATTCCTGAGGACTCTAAAGAATAAGCTTTAACAATCAGGACTAGAGACTTATCAGCATAGACTACTGATGAGCATTACATATATAGCTTCTTACGGAAACTACATATGTAAAAGAAAAGTATAATATATAGTATTAACTACTTATTCATTTATTTATGTATATATTTATTTATTGAGAGAGAAAGAGAGAGAGGGGAACTGCACATGTGAGCAGGTAAGGGGCAGGAGAGGGAGAGAGAATCTTAACCAGACTCCACACCCAGCACTGAGCCCAACATGGGGCTCAAGCTCACAACCATGAGATCATGACCTGAGCTGAAATCAAGAGTCAGATGCTTAAGCTTAACCAACTCAGCCACCCAGGCACCACTAAACTATTGTTTCTAAATGGAGGCAGAATGAGGAGAGCATAGGCAAAAAGCAAAATTTACTACTTTAATCACATTGGTGGCGGTAGTGGTAATGCTGTTATTCTGAGATATCCCAACATATAACATGGATAGAGATAATAAGTAACTGTGGGATATTCTAATTCTATAATCCCCTGTGTCCTTGAGAACCTGAATACTGAGTTTGGAAGGAAAGAGTTACTAATAATATAGAAGACTTTTAGTCTTCTATTCCTCTAGTACTGAAACTTAATTGGAATTTATGAGTATGAATTCACAAGATATTTTATCCTTAAAAACATACACAAGTGCCTGGGTGGCTCAGTCAGTGGGGCTTCTGACTTTAGCTCAGGCCACGATCTCATGGTTCGTACGTTCGAGCACCGCATCGGGCTTTGTGCTGACAGCTAGCTCAGAGCCTGGAGACTGATTCAGAATCTGTGACTCCCTCTCTCTCTGACCCTCCCCTGTTCACGCTCTCTCTCTCTCTCGCTCTCTCCTAGAAATAAATAAAACATTAAAAAATAATAATAATAATAATAATAAAATAAAATAAACACTAAACATGTTTTTTTAATAAAAACATAAAAAATAAAAAAATAAGCTTCTAACCTGGGGAAGTAGGAAGGTGATGAAAGATGGCTTCCCTGGAGGGTAAGTTATATTTAAGCTAAGACTTTACAGGTACTAATTATCCACAATTCAAGGTGCATCTACGTCTAGTGCTCACCAGTTGATTAGTGATTTAACTTCTATGAACCCCAGATCCTCATCTGTCAAATAAGATGCATACTATCAACTCCCTAGAATTTCTGTGATGACTTAGGTAAAATGTAAAGGGCCTGGCTCAAAGGTGCTCAACAGAGGTTAGGGGTCTTTATTACCATTTGTCCCTTGGCCTCCTTCAGAATAGACTCACATCTAATTCATCTCTGTATCCACCACAGCACCCAGCACAAAGATCAGACAGCTCTTAAGCTAGTACCCCCTCACCTGAGGATGTTGATACAACCATTGCCATTTGTCAGGAAGAACATGTTATTGTCATTATTCCAGGAGATTTCATTGACTTCAAACTTGAACTGCTCCTCCGCTTTGGAACGGTGTGTCTTGGCATCAATAAAAGTCACTACATCATCCTTGTTGCCCACAGCAATGGTCTGTCCATCAGGACTCCAGCAGATATTAATGTTCTCCCCTGGAAACCCAGATATAATGAGCAAGATATTGTTTGCCCATAATCCTCCCAAAGTTGATTTTTTTTTTTTTTTATCATACAAAGACCAGAGCTATTCACTAAGGTCCTAGTCAATAGAAGGGAATGACCACTTACTCACCAATTGTGAGACCAGCACATTCATCTACAAATTTCACCCTTTGGGTACTCACAATAATTCTCTATGTATTAATAATTCATTATTCCCAACTTACATATGAAGAAATAAATGATAGATAAGAGAGATGAGCCAAAATGTCAAAGCTATGAAGTAACAGACTGAACATCCAAGCCAGATTTAACTCCAAAGCTCTTATTCTTACACCAGCATTTCCCAAACTCCAGTCATTTGAATGCCACTTTCACAATTTTTGTCCTATTCATGTTAACAGCTGTATTTCTGTATTCAAAATTTTTCTTAAAATGGACTCAAAAGAATTCTTAAATAAATTTAGTTTCAGTTTAGCAATGACTTCTACAGGCTAGTTCTTTTTTTCCAGTAGGTATTAAAATCTATACACAGCCAGTTTTTAATGTTCATCTATTTTACACCTAAAGCACACATGCATTACCAGCTGCCTACTTGGAGGAACCACCACAACATTCCATGTCCAGGTGCCAGTCTTATCAAAAAGTCCAGTGGCCCACAGTGAACACATCGGTTAGAACTGTCATCAACTTTACCAATTCTATGATGCATATTTTTTCACACTTTATGATCTATAATGTACCTTAAAATGCAACAGGATGCATCTCAAAAATTTGTGACGTATCATAGTTACCTAGAAGCTTTATCTTCTTTCCTACCAGCACATAAAATACTGGTGCATCTTGTAATCAATGACATGTTCGTCAATAAAATATAATCAATGGCCTCAAGGTTTATAGAACAATACCTGGTGAAGAACGGATTCTATACATGTGCTGCACGACTTCCAGGTCATTTTGTCCCAGACCTCCAAGACCATTCATTCCAAGATCAGCCATTCTAGCCCATCAAGTTTCATAAATTCTCTGCACATCTGCACGTGCAGGTCCCTCCTAGAGCTGCCCCCTACCCCCCACCGACCCACTGTGCCATGACCACCAAATCCCTATGAGTTATTCTAAGAGTCTGCTCAAATTCTGTGAGGCCTTCCGTGTCTCCACAGGCGGACTTAAGTCTCTCCATTCTGAGTGTCCATCTTTTAGACCTCTCCAGTGAAGAGGAGCCAAGTCATGTTACGTTAGGGCTCTTTTACACATATGCCTCTCTCCTTGCACTAAACCTAGTCCAAGTCCTAGGGGCTGGAGATTGCCTTTTTCAGCCCAGGATGTCTCATACCTAACTCAAGGCCACAGACAGAGAAGATGATCAGGGAAAGGCCTGAGATGACTACAAGTAGCTCATTCCTACTGCCCTCTCTCTGAAGTCACCTTTAGTGTTCACTGTGGCAATGCATTTTGTAGTCCTCACATCCCAGATGCGAATGGTTTTGTCTCCAGAGGCAGTGACAAAGAGGTCAGGATTACTCGGGTGCCAACAAAGCTGGTCCACACTATCCCCATGTCCCCGGTAATTGTTTTCTTTAACCTGAAAGAACAGAACCCAAACATCACTTCACACAAAAGTACCTGCCTCCACGTGTAGCTTTTTAACCTTATTCAAACCAAGGTACCTGGTGACCAACAAAGACCCAGATAATTGAAAAGAAATCAGTCCTTCCAAGCCCTTTCCCCCAGCTACTCCCAACTTCCTCCCCAATCACTCTGAACCGTTCTGAGGTTTAGGGTCCACATCAATGGCCTTACTCTTCGGTCCTCCCTGCCCTTCCTCTTCCTTTCAGGTTTTCCACCCTCACTCTACGGCCCAGGTTCCCAGTCTTCTTGCTCATCCCCACAGAAGGCCCTATCATCTTCCCACCACGGGGGCCTCACCAGCAAGCACCACAGCCCCTAGCCACTCCTCACACTGCACAACGCCTTCCTACCACTCTCCTACACCCCCACCTCACCCCTAGTCTCTCCCACCCTCCTCACCACCCGTCTTCATCCCCCCATCTGCACTCGCCCCCACTACCACACTCCCTCGCACCTCCACCGTCCTCTTCTCCACCACACCCCCTCCTGACCCCTAACCACCAGCCCCGTCACTCCCACACTCCTCTCTCGTGCACTGCACATCCCCATCATCCCCACACCCCTCACCTCCACCCACCCGACCCCCGTTCTCTCCCTCAACACCACACCTCCCTTTACCACAGCCCCTCTCTCCGGCTGGGCCGGCCCCTGACAGCTCACCAACCGGTCCTTCTCCAGCAGAAAGACGCTGGCCGTCTTGTCGAAGGACCCCGAGGCAAGGCGACGCCCGTCGCAGCTCCAGGCCACCGAGTGCACCTTGGCGCTATGCGCAGGGAACTCGCGCGTCTTGCTGTGGCCGCGGAACAGCTCCTGCATTCCCAGCACGTAGCGTGTCGGGCCACTGGTCATTGAGCACCAGGGAGCCATTGAGCCAGGACCACTCTGGCCCAGCGCCGAGGGCCCCATGGCCGCCGCAGGAACCGCCATGGCAAGCTCCCGGCGGCCCGCGAGGATACCGCCGCTTTGGCCCAGTCAGTCCTGCCGCCTCTGCCGCACGCCTGCGCCCGGAAGAGCGGCTCTCCCCTGCGCAGCCGCACTGAGAGCCATCCGGAGGGGACTACAAATCCCGGCATGCAGCGCGCGAGCTTCCTTACTTTTCAGTAGTGGTGATTCCGATTTAAGCTTCTTTCACAGTTAATGATTCTAAGGATTTTAGGACCTATTTCCCCCTTACCTACTGCCTGGTAAATATATTTGTATTCCTGTTTAACTGAAAAAGAAAACCAACGCTATCCTTCTAAACCTCAGTTCCCCATCAGTAAAAGACATTTTTTTCTAGGGTTGATCCTCACCCTTCAGTCCCCTCCCTCGAGCAGAAGGCTCTCCACACTCTGGCTGGTGAACTCGTGGGTTTGTGGGTGCCCACAGTTGGGGAGGAGAGGGATTGAGAAGGGGGTTGGGGATGTCTTTAAATAAACAAATTCTCCGTTTTTAAAAGGTACTACTGATGAGTGATAAAAGCAGAAAAATGTTTACCTTTAGTGCAGAAGGCCGAGCTACGTAGCCTGCATAGTTCTGATAAAGAGCAAATACATACTGGTTGCTACATTCTTAAAGGGTCTCATGACTGGCTGTATATCTCACCAATAGTTAATGTGGAGCTAAATGATAAGCACCAGAGAAATCTTGCAAAAATAGTTTTATGAGTAGAAATCCGAAGAAAACATGATCTAACACTCCCTGCACATCCCTGTCCCCTTTAACAGTAAGCATATAACCACTGGATTCATATAGCAAAAGTGTGGATATTTCTGCCCGCATCCTGTCCCAGTGCCATTTAAATAGACTTACTAAGCTGCACTGTAAAACATCTCAAGAATTCTTTCTTGACGATCAGCGCTCAAAGATCCTGAAACACTTAATATGCACATGATTACATACCCAAAACCATAAAAGATAGAGAGTAAACAGTAAATGTCCACCTGTGTCACACACACCCTCTTGGATTATTTTCATCCTTCCCACGCCTACCTTAAGTCACAAGTCCAGCAGCTTCTTGCTGAAGAAACCAGTGGTGGGCTACCACCACAACCAAAACCCTGGAGAAGGACTGTGGGCTGGGGGAGGGTTTTGGAAGTAAGCAGGTGGCTGAAAATTTAAAAACAAATCTTTTTTTTAAAAGGTAACGTAAAAAAGTAATATGAGCACTTGGTAACAAATGCAGAAAATAAAAAGGAATAGAGTGAAAAGAGTACGTTTATCTCCTGTGTCTCCAAATTCCCCTTCTGAAAAACATTGTTAAATTTTTGTGTGGTCTTCCAGAGATAGTTTAAGTGTAAAAAGGACCTTTGAAGAGGTAGATTGGCCTGTATATATCCTTCCCACGCCACCACTGCCCAGCAAAAATAGTAGCCTTCCTTACCTGTTTTCTTTGGTAAACACACATAATCTATCAGTATATGCTAATGTCTCATTCTATTTCATGGATGTAGTCTTTAAGGACATGCATGTATAATAGTTTATTTCACTGATCCCCTTAATCAGTATTCCGTGTCCATGAATTTGCTTTTAGAACAATACTGCAGAAGGGGAGCCTGGAGGACTCAGCCTGTTAAGCGTCCAACTCTTGATTTTGGCTCAGGTCATGATCTCACAGTTCGTGAGTTTGAGGCCTGCATTGGGCTCTGTGCTGAGAGCACAGAACCTGCTTGGGATCCTATCTCTCTTCTTCTTTCTCTGCCCCTCCTCTGCTCATGTTACAAACAAACAAACAAACAAACATAAATAAATAAATAATATATTTAAAAAGAACAATACTGCAGTAAACATTCCTATATAAGCTTCATTGTGCACATATGCACTTTTTTATTTGAATAGATATTGCCGAAATGAAGGCATTCTAACAATCTCCATTTCCATCAGCAACATAGGAAAGTGTCTTAAGATCCTAAATACTAAATGAATCCACATGTAAAACACATAACTCTGATAAAGCCTAGTAAATGAGGCCTTTCTCTTTCCCCTATTCTCTTCTCTACCCCATTGCAACCACAAATTCTTGTAGACTTCAAAGCTTTTAGACTCCAAAGAATACCTATGAAGTCCACTAAAATCTTGGGGTAGGAGATTATTTGGCGTCTAGCTTTCCCTCCTTAAACTTTTCTTTTCAGAAATTTTCTTCATATGCTAGCATTTTTTTCCCCTTACAAACACAGAGGATTTCTGTCTCTGGGTTCCACAAAGGAAACTAAAGAACAAAAAGGCAAAATGTTCTGCTTCAGATCACATGGCTGTTATTGGACAGAGCAAAGATTAGAACTCAGCTGTTACTGATTCCAAAACCTAAACTCTGATTCTCAGTTCCTGAAGCCTCCACATTATAAACATAACTCTTTGTATTTCTGTATTAATTTTATATTTTTGTACATGATATGTGTTTTTTATTTCATTTTCCCTTGTGTTGTCTAGATTCTGTAAACAGAAACGTTAGGACCTCAGTTGTGATAAGTGTATTCTGTTGCTCATCACTGAGACAGAGCCTGAAACAACTGTTTTGAAATTGGAATAGCATATGTGTGGGGGCTATGTGATTGAAGGCAGAGAATCTCCAAGGAGAGATAAAATTCAAGGAAGCAAAAGATTGGGCCATTTTTTTAAAAATTGTATTTAGAAAAATAATTAAATTTACAAAAAAAGCTGCAAGAAAAGGAGGAACACTGATAATTCTAGGGCCCAGATTCACCAAGTTTTAGCATTTTGTTCCCTTTGTTCTCTCTACCATATACATATCTCTTGCCTAAATGTTAGGGAGTAAGTTGCATATATCATTATACTTCGCCTCTAATTTTTCAGTGAATATTCCTAAGAGCAAGGATATTCTGCTTCCTATCTCCAGGATAGTTATCAACTTTGGTAATTTGAACAATAAGATAGAATTTTATCTACTGTCTATATTTCAGCAATGTCAGTTTAGCCAGTAATATCCTTTAGAGCATTTCTCCACTACAAGATCTAGTCTAGGGTCTGATATTGTATTGAGTGGTCATATTTCTTAGTTTCCTTGAATCTATAAAAATCCCCCAGCATGTCTGTAGCCATTTAGATATTCATATTTTTTAAAGAATTTGATGAACCATTTTTATAATCCCTTTGTCACCAAAATGTCTCTTTCAGGAGCTGATCTTTGCTCACCTCTGAAGGATATTTTTTACATATGGGAGTCTTTGGATTTTTAGGGTCACTCAGGGCAGAATCAAGACATAAATAATAACACCAGAGATGACAAGATGTGTAGAGAGAATTTTCAGGAGGTGAGGAAGACATCCTACAGTGAAGGAAGAGTAGAAAAGGAAAGAAGGAGGCTTGAAGTCTAAGTCCTTTGACAGTGGGGAGCTTTGGAGAAGGTGTTGTTACAAGAGAAAACAGGAAAGAGCCTGTCACTTCAGGCAAATGATGGCAGATATACTACACGAAGCCTTTAAAGAACTGTCTTAAAGATGCTCAAAGAATTAAGGAAAGATATCAAGAAAGTAAAAAAAAAAAAAGTGTGAACAAAATATAAATGCAAATAAAGAAATAAAAAACCTAAAAAGAAACCAAGAAGATATTCTGGATATGAAAAGTTTAATAACGAAAATGAAAACTTCCCTACAGGTATTCAAAGGCAGATTTGAGCAGGCTGAAGAAAAAAAATCAATAAATATGAAGATAAGATCATGGCAATTATTGAATCTGAGAAACAAGAAAGGGAAAAGACTGAAGAAAAGTGAACAGAGTATAAGGAACCTGTGGGACACTATCAAGTAAACCAACATATACACATTATAGGGAGTCCAAGAGGGAGAAAGGGGTACTGAGAAAGTATTTGAAGAAATAATGGCTTAAAACTTCCTATGTTTGGGGCACCTGGGTGGTTCAGTCAGTTAAGTGTCCAACTTGAGGTTTCAGCTCAGGTCATGATCTCATGGTTCATGAGTTCAAGTCCCACATCAGGCTCTGTAATGACAGTGTGGAGCCTGCTTGGAATTCATTCTCTCTCTCTCTCTCTCTCTCCTCTCTCAAAATAAATAAACTAACTTTTAAAATATTACTTTAAATTCTTTAAAAATACTTTAAAAAGAATTACTACTTTACATTTGGGGGCACACAATGTATAAAGATGTAATTCTGTAACATCAACAACTAAAAAGGGTGAAGACAAAGCTCTTAAGGGAGCAGAGTTTTTGTATGTTGTTGAAATCAAGTTAAGCTAGAGTGTTAAGACTTTGGGATGTTAAATATAATCCCCATAGTAACCACAATGAAAATAGCTGTAGAACATATGCAAAAGGAATTAGAAAAGAATTGAAATATTTTGAGACAAAAATCAACTAAACACAAAAGAAGACAAAATGAATGACTGGAAAAAATGTCATATGTAGAAAATAAATATAAAAATGACAGAAGAAATCCCTCTTTTTAAGTAATTACTTTAAGTGTAAATAGATTAAACTCTCCAAGGAAAAGACAGAGATTGGTAAAATGGATAAAATTTGTGAATCAACTATATGCTGTGTATAAGAACTCCCTGTAGATCCAAAGACACAATTAGATTAAAAGTGAAAGGATAGAAGATACTCCATGAAAATAACCAAAAGGGAGCAAGTTGGTTTTATTAATATCAAACAAAATGGACTTTAAATCAAAAAGTTTACAAGAACCAAAGAAAGACATTGTGTATTAATTAAAGGCTCAATAGAGCTTAAAGACATAACAATTATAAATATGTACCTAATGACAGATCATCAAAATATATGTGGCCAAAACAAATCCATTTTTATCAATATTTGTAAAAAATAGAGATGTAAATCAAGTGAGGGATTCCCAGACCTAACCTCCAGAACACACTGACTCTTGTTTTATCTTTTCTTCTTCCCAGTTTAATAAACCATTTGCAAAGAAAGATACCTGAAGTGGAAATTCTTCAGAAATATTAGAACATCATCCTTCTAGAGGAATAGGATAGACAGGGTAGAAGTTAGAGTGGTAACTAGGATTTCTATTCAAAGCTCACAGTCA